ACTGTGGAGGCAGAGGCAGGCAGATCTCTTGAGTTCAAAGCAGCCTGGTCTACATAGTGAGTTCCAGGACAGCTGGGGCTACAGGGAGAGGCTGTCTCAAAAAGACAAAAAAAAAAAAAGTCTTTAAAGAGAGTGATAATTCTTTAATGGAAAAATGCTGTTTTCAGGTCATGTAATAAAAAACTGCTATTTGGTGTTTTTTCAGTAGCTTAAGGTTTGTCTGCAGTGGCAGAACCTCCACTGATAAAAACAGGAGGCCTGAGGAAGGACAGCAGTGTCATCAGAAACCAAATGGCTTCTGTCTGTCTCTTTCACTGCTTTACTTGAATACCTTTTACCTCGTTGGTCTCAAAAGAATGACAAAGTGGTTAAAGTAGTGTATAGAGTGAAACCCATGTGAATAGGAAGAACCATTTGCAGCCAGACTCTATTCCTTGAATAGCAAATTTTAATATGTACCATGCACTGGCTGCGGTGATACAGTTTCATGGGAATCGGAGGTGTACAGGTGAGTAAAATAGGGTCTTGCTTTCAAACATGCATAGAAGTGTAGTAGAGAGACACAAAAACATCTTAACCGGGAAGTTAAGAGATGTGTTAGAGACCCAGTGACCAAAAATGTGTGTGGGACAGTGTCACGGGAGATTGTCAAGTCTTAATTGTGGAGCGGAGTCTGTCAGCGGGCATCTTCAGAGACGGTAATGGAGAATGATGCATAGAAGAGGTTGGCTAGAGAGAGTTTAGGAATCTGAAGGCAGAGAAGCCGAAAATAATTGAGTCTCCCTGGTAAGAATGTATCAGTCATTTTTTTTTTTTTTTTTTTTTTAAGACAACTAATCACCCTTCTTGCCTGCTTGATTTATGGAAGACTACGGAACCTAAACAAATTGCTATTTCTTTTTAAAAATTATTTATTTTATTTTATGTGTATGAGTATTGTGCCTGCATGTGTGTAAGTGTACCCATGTCATGCAGTGCCTCCAGAAGAGGGTGTTGGATTCCCTGGAATGAAGTTATGGATGGTTGTTAGATGCCATGTGGTGCTGGGATTTGAATCTGGGTCTTCTGCAAGAGCAACCAGTGCTCTTAACTGCTGAGCCATCTCTCCAGCCCCCAGATTGGTATTTCTGAAAATAAATTGGACCATTTTTTGCCAGCCCCACCTTGGAAGGATCATTTGACTTGATGGTTGGGGAAGGTGGTGGCCCCAGATAATTGAACCTGAACAGTCACCTGAGTGTCAGCATGGGGTCTAGCTAAAGTATTTGTGACAGGGCTGGATAGCAGTAATATATAACTAGTGAGTGGGTCAGGTGGCAAGTGCGAATGTGTTTCTGAGACAGACACAGAGTCAGGGTCCCAAATGGGGAAAGTCCAGAGACCAGAGAAGACGCAGCAGTGGCTTTTCTCCAGTCAGAAAATAGAATGGGCAGTGGAGAAAGCACTGAACCTTTACATTAGTGCTTTGTTTAGAATGAGTGTGGCTTCTAGAGCTTCCTTCACTTGGAAGTCTTTGTTGTCATTTGACTTATGTGAAAGCTGGTGATAGTTACGAAGATCTGTATCATTTGTGATGGACAATTCCTGAAAACTAACTGCTTACAAATTGATTTATTTTCTACATGTGACATTATGAACTTTGGGTTTTGTTGGTCTTAGTTTTATGAGTTACCTAATGAAAAATGCAAAGTTGTATAATAGATAATTTTGAGGATAAATTTCAGTTACAGTTATTTTCAGTACTTTGATATGACTGAATAAGTGAAGTAGTTCCAGTAAATGTTATTAGTTATGAACTAACTGCTCGTGCTTTTTCCTTTAGGAACATGTGTTCTGGGTGGTGTCTTTAAATACACTGTTCATTCTTGTTTTTGGTAAGTTGTACTTGTGCTTTAGTTTTTGTGGTATTATGATAGAAGTGTGGCTTTCCAGGGGTCATTACAGCTTTTTCTTTTATTTGTAATTTAGGAATATTAAGGAACACGCGAATTTGGAAGCCAGATCCCTAGCACATTGACTGACTTTTCCATAGTGATCGAGTTGTACCCTTCTGTACTAATTTGCTACTTTAAAAAAAAATATTTTATTTGGGCACCCACATTGCAGCTAACAACTGTCTGTATCTCCAGTTCCAGGGGATCCGATGGCCTCTTCTGTCCTCTGCCGGCATTGCACGACATGAGTGCACTCACCTACATGCAGGCCTAACACTCATACACATAAAATAAAAATAATAAAATATTAAAAAAATACTTTGTTATTTTTATTTTATGTGGATAAATGTATTGCCTGCATGTGTGTAAGAGCACCTGTGTCATGCAGTGTCTGTGGAGGTCAGAAGAGGGCATCAGATCCCCTGGAACTGGAGTTAAAGATGGTTGTTAGCCACTATGTGGTTGCTGGGAATTGAATTCAAGTCCTCTACAAGAGCAGCCAGTGCTCTTAACCATTGAGCCATCTCTCCAGCCACTCTGCTGTTTATTTTTTTTAAAGGTTCTTTTTAAAAATATTTATTATTATTACTATTATTATTATTATTATTATTTGGTCATTTTGAGACAGGGTCTCTCTGTAGCCCCAGCTGTCCTGGAACTCACTATGTAGACCAGGCTGGCCTTGAACTCACAGAGATCTGCCTGCCTCTGCCTCCCGAGTGCTGGGATTAAAGGCGTGCGCCACCATGCCCAGCTTATTTATTATTTTTATGTGTATGACTGTATTGCCTGCATGTAGGTAAGTGCACCCATGTCGTGCAAAGTCCTTGGAAAGACAGAAGAGGCTGTCGGATCCCCTGGAACTGGAGTTATAGACAGTTGTTAGCTGCTATGTGGGTTCTGGGATTCGAACTCAGGTCTTCTACAAGAACAGCCAGTGTTCTTAACTGCTGAGCCATCTCCAGCCCATCTGCTGTTTATTTTTACAGTAGAGAAAACATAATTTATTCAGAACAAAGTAAAATTTGGCTAGAAAGGCCTTAGGAAAAAAGAGTATTAAAAATTTCAGTATCAAAGTTTTAAGTGTATTTTCTGATTTTTACATCTTAGAAAATTGCCAGAATTTATTTAATATTTCCTCATCATCATGCTTAAGATCCCCAAGTTGTTTCTTAAATGTCATTTGACAGTTGGTTTGTTACAATAAATATCCAAATAAGGTGCACACATTAGTTAGAAGTTAAAATGTGGTTTTCTTTGCTCTTCACTGTACAGTTTGCTGTTGAGTTGTTGAAGATTGGGTAAATCCCCTTGCAGTGTGTCATAGTCTGTGTCTTGTGTGACTGCGCCCTGGGTATCCGATCCCCTCACCCTCTGCCTCTCCTGTTTTCTAAAAGGTGGCAGTCAGACTTAAGGGCCTAATTAGATTAGATTCAGTACTTCTGTGACCTGTCGTTGGATACATTTGACACTCTGACGTAGTATCATCCACATTTTCATTGGACGATGTAGATATGTAATTTTTATTTTTCTCTTGATCATGAGGAACCAATCTGGGGTGATGTTTTAGTGCCACAGGAATAGACAGCGCTGCATCATGTGCTCACTCAGTTGCTTTCTCTAGCCCTCTTCAGGTGCTACAAAAATGCCAACTTCAAATTCTGTCACTAAAAAAAATTATTGGCTAGCTTTCCTCTAAAGAATTTATTTTTATCAGTAGGAACTGTTCCATTCATCCGAACTTTATTGCTCAGGAGAAGCCAGCCAAATGATCAAAGTTATAATTTTTAATAATCTGTTTTCAGAGTAAGGAATTTACACATTACGTCCAAAACATGGAAACTTTTTCTTTGATGTTGCTGATTTTTCTTTTGTGGTTGTTACTTGGCGCTTACACTATTTTTTTGAGTAGTGAGAAAAGATCATGAATTTGGGTTGTTTTCATTAATTTTGATCATTAAGTTTTTTTTTTTTCTTTAAACACTCATCAACTCTTTAAAAATATCTGTGACACCTTCAGAATGGTTCCTGTGTCCTTTTGACATGGTCTTGTTATACCTTGATGATAATTTATTCTCTGATTATAGAAAATATCCCAGGTATAATTTGGTTTTTGATGAGTTCTGGAATTTTCCTTTTCTCAAGAGAAGTTCTGATTCCTTTGAGTGGTGAGTATAATAAGAGTGTTCTCTAATGTTGAGTTTTTCCTCCCTTTTAGCGTTCTGTCCTTACCACATTGGCCATTTCTCCCTTGTTGGTTTGGGATTTGAAGAACATGTGAGTATAATGATTTTAGAAACTTGCTTTTGCTAACTACCCCCAAATTTGATGTTTTAAGGAATATTTTGAAGAATTACTTCTTTTCTGAATTTATCTTGTGCAAAGGAATAGTCAGCACAGTCTTACTCATTTCTTTCAAAGCTAAACAGTTGCTCAAGAAATGACACATCATATTGACACGTGACACAGGTGTTCCACAAATTCTCACAGTGAACTGTCTCCCTGTGTGTTGGGTCCGAGGCCCGTTATGAGAAGTTTCCCACAGGTTGCCTCCCCTACTTTGTGAACTTGTGTGCTGCCTTTTCTCCCTTTCCCCAGGTGACCCATAGTGAATTGAGAAAACTATCAGTATAAAAAGGGACTAGACTTTCTTGAGATCGTGGACTATAGCGTTTTCTCAAGAATTTGCTCAAATAATAGAGTTTATCATTTTGTAAGGTTGGGTGGATTATTACCACTTTGTTTCCTAAAAATATTTTAATAGTTTAGAAAAGGCTGCCCAATAACCTGGCATCCTACAGGTTTTTAACAGTGTGAAGAACGTTAATTTGTGCAAGTTAGAATCTGCTATCATTTAAATGGTGACAGCTTTGCCAGTAAAAAATATACTCTTCTGTGGCCAGGAAAGGAGACTGCCATAGCCCAGAGGTCTCTAAGATTTGTGGAAGGTTATAGCTGCTGCTTTTAAGGGCTCTGTAAGGACTTTTAAGGAAGAGCTGACTGAGGTCTTCTGTTCACTTTGTATATGTGGGTTCTGAGAGCTTACCTTTGGAAACATTCCAGTTTTTGCTGCAGCTCTGATTCTTCTTAGTGGTTGCTTGTAAGACTCTGGATGGCTGAGATAAATGCTTGGATAGATTTTAACTTTCTAGAACTGTTGCTGTTACCAGTAACTCAGTAACCAAAAAGATACCTATGAGAAATATATGTCATTCTCTGTACTCTTACTCTGTGTGAGTCACTGGAACAATTTTGGACAGTTAGAGAAACTTAAAGTTACTTATAAGGGTGTGAGATGAAAGGGACCTGATGGGTGGCCAACTTGGGCAGAATGTTGCTGCTTTAGTGGTAGTGGCCAACCTTTAGCAAGTCCACCTTCATGAGAATAGAGGGCAGACTATAGTGTCAGGTCTTATCTGGGGGGTTCCACTCACTCTACTATTGATGCTGAGTATTGCTCTTTAATGTGTTATCATTCTTCAGTAATATGTAGCATCTGTATATATGGAGAGTCTGGTGTGCAGGTGTTATACCAAGGAGATTTTGCAGGCTTTTAATTATATAAATGATTTGTTTTTTAACATTGAGGTTATCACAGTGGTAAAATCAACCATGAGGAAACTTTAATTGTATTTATTTATGTTTCATTTCCAGGTCCAGGCATCTCATTTTGAAGGCCTAATTACAACCATTGTTGGATATATACTTTTAGCAATAACACTGATAATTTGTCATGTATCCTTTAATTAACATGCCTGAAGATACAACAATATTCATACCAAATAGTTGTTCTTATTAATAGTGAAGCTGTTTTCTCCTTGACCCCTTCATAAAAGAGTATTTGTAAAAAGATGAGAATGGATGAAATACGAAATAAAGGGAATTGTCAGAAACCATTAAGTGCAATACAGTTTCCTCTTTTGTCATACTCTTAAGTGTTCCATTTTTCCTTGACCGGATGCTGTAGGCGTTGGCGACTCTTGTTAAGTTTCATAGGTCTCGTCGCCTACTGGGAGTCTGCTACATTGTTGTTAAGGTAATTCAATTGTGACTTAGTTCTAGAAATGGTTTGTCTTCCATTTGGTTGATGTTGATGGCCTGTATTTCCCCCTAATTCAGGTGTCTTTGTTGGTCGTAGTAGAAATTGGAGTGTTCCCTCTCATCTGTGGCTGGTGGCTGGATATCTGCTCCCTGGTAGGTTGGGTACTCACTGTTATACTGTCTCTGAACTTCAAGGCTTCAAAAAAAGTCTTCAGAATACATTCCTTTTAAAGAGAAGCAAATATTTCATGATTTATTCTTGAAATTAAAACCTAAAGAGTCTAAATGTGGCTAATTTTCTTGAGGGCTTAATTTTTTGAAGTTCTGTACATATTTAAAGGTCAGGGTATTTTGACTGGGGCTTTTTTTTTTTTTTTCTTTTGAGACAGAGTCTCCCTGTAGCCCCAGCTGACCTAGAACTCGCTATGTAGATCAGCCTGACTGGGGCGTTTGTACTGACTCTTGGAGAGTTTTGTTACTCATTTTGCTCTCCTAAATTTTATGCTACTATCACTCTAATATTTTATACTATGATAATAAATATTGATGGGTCTTAGTGATAATCAGCTTTTGATTTTTTTCAATAATATATGTAGAAAAGCTGCCTTTGGTTCTGAGATTAACATTTACCCTCATTCTTTTATTATTTAAATTTTTTATGAATGCAGAACTATAACCAAGAAAGCAGCGTTTTACATTAATCAGATAAATGGCTTTTATATTAGAAGAACTAGTAAAGAGCCGAAGGCATGGCTCATTTGGTGGAGTGGCTTGCCTGGCATGCATGAAGCCCTGGGTTCAGTCCCTAGCACCACATAAACCAGGTGTAGTGGCACATGCCTGTAATCCTAGCACTCAGGAGGTAGAGGCAGGAGGATCAGAAGATCAAGGTTATCTTCACCTACATTAGCAAGTTCTAGGCCATCCTTAGATACGTGAGACCCTGTCTCAAAAGAAAATATACTAGTAAAACTCTCATTATTTATGCCTCAAGATTTTAATTACATTTATTTATTTTGTACGTGTGCAGAGAACAACTTTTGGGAGTCAGTTCTCTCCACTGAGGTCCTGGGGATAGAACTCAGGTCCTCAGCAAGTGCCTTTACCTGCTGGACCATTTCAAGTAGTCCATGCTTCAAGACGTTGAAGTGCCATTTTATTTTGATTCGTGGTGGCTGTGATAAAACACATCAGAAGCAACTTAAGGAGGAGTGGGTTTGTTTGGACTTCACTTCCACATCACCTCCATCACTGGGATGTTGGGGCAGGAACCTAGAGGAAGAAGTAGAAGCAGAGACCTCCGGGGAAGGCTGCTCACTGCTTCCTTGCCTCTGGCTTGCTCAGCTACCTTCCTTACACAGCCTAGGGCCCACCTGCCCAGGAGTGACAACACTCACAGTGGGCCAAGACCCTCTTCATTCATTAGCAATTATGAATACCACCCCCACATGTCTGTAGACTGGTCTGATGGAAGGAATTCGTCAGTTGAGAGTCCCTCTTTCCAAGTGTGTCTAGGTTTGTGTCAAGTTGACAGCTGTGACAAGTGTTTTGTGCATCTTTGCATTCCCTCTTACATAGTTGAGTGACACTGCAATGGCCTTGAGAAAACTGAAATCCAGGAAAACTAGGCCCTTGCATACACAGGGTGAACTTACTCTTTGGAGGGTGCAGGTACTAAGGTTGCAAGTGGAGGTGGTATAGATCTCTCTCACTGTTCTGTTTTGGCCCAGGAAATGTTTGATGCTACTCTGAAAGACCGAGAACTGAGCTTTCAGTCGGCTCCAGGTACTACGATGTTCCTGCACTGGCTGGTGGGGATGGTGTATGTGTTCTACTTTGCCTCCTTCATTCTGCTGTTGAGAGAGGTAAGGCTGAGAGGGAAGGGCTAGTGCTTTGCATTTTTGAGAAGGGCTTTTGCTTTGACCACTAGACATCCCTCAGAAGCTAGAACGATTTCCTAACTAAACCATCTTCTCCAGTATTCTAAGAGGGATAGCTGATAGCAGGGTTGGGTATGACAACTTTAAATTGGTTTAGTTGTTTATGTTGGAAATTGACAAGTTATAGTTTTAAAAATGATTAGACCAAAAAAATTAATGTTTTAATTTAATATATATCGTACTTATCCTTGGTTGCAAACTCTTGTATGTTGGTGTAATAATGAATTGGTTTCAGACTTTATCCCCAAGAAGTAAGGTTTTCTAGAACTGAGTATGTTGAATATTTTGAAACAGGCATTTTGAGTATAGAATACATTGAGGATCCTTTGTATTCCAGTTCACTTGCCAGATAGGACCTTTACAATGTTGTTTCCAGAAATCTGGCTCTGACTGGTTTGCAGATGAAGGCAGCAGATCAATATTTCCCAGTATGCCTCAAGCTGCAGATTCTTGTGTGCTGGGCAATACTGAGACAAAGGCAGGGTTCTGCTCTCCTCAGTTCCTGGGAAGGAATAAAGATGTCGAGCAAGTTAGCTTACTCTGTGAGGCTGGTAAGGGAGGACCAAGCCAATGGAGCCAGTGGGAATGGGGCATGAAAACATGGGCCGAATGTCATTTTCTATGTGCTTTGGTCTTTGAAAGATTTGACAAGGGAAGGGGGTGGGTCTGAATCCTTCAGACTGTGTATGTAGTAATATTTGTATATATGTGTGTCTATTTGTATATATAGTATGTATGGTATTGTGTGTGTGTGTGTGTGTGTGTCTGTGTGTCTGTGTGTCTGTGTGTAGATATGTATATAATCTCAGCGATCTGAATGTCTTGACAAACTGTACTCAGTGTTTTTTTCTAATGAACAACTGAAAGCATCAAAGCTCATTCAAATTTCTGGCTTAGGAACTTTTTTCATCAAAATTGTGTAAATTTTCTGGGGTGAATTTTAGCGGCCAGAATAATTTTGGAGCATGTTTTTCTGTTGATGCTTCAGCCCATGTACAGCATGTGATGCACTAGTGAGTATTTATAACTGTGTTTGCAGGTACTTCGACCTGGTGTCCTATGGTTTCTAAGGAATTTGAACGACCCAGATTTTAACCCAGTACAGGAAATGATCCACTTGCCCATTTATAGGCATCTCAGAAGATTTATTTTGTCAGTGGTGAGCAGATCTTTCCTTTTTTTAAATAAAAGTAAAACTTGGAAACTAGAGAGGTGCCCAGTAGTTAAGAGCCCTGGCTGCTCTCTCAGAGGACCCAGCTTGGTTCGCAGCACCCACATGGTGGCTAATAGTGGTCTATAACAACAGTTACAGGGGATCCCATGCTTTCTTCTGACCTCCATGGGTATTGCACACACGGTGCAGTTACATAATATATAGACAAAACAGTCACATAAAAATAAATAAGAAATTTTTAAAAAGCAAAGAATGCTACCCTTTAGCCTTCATACTTTGGTTTTCTTTTAATTGGGAGGGCTGGGCGCTCCTACTAGACAGTCATGTGAGCCTGTTACTGATGAAGTAGCTGCTCTGCTGAGCTCTCACCTGGGGTTGTGTCCTGTTTCTCACTACAGATTGTCTTTGGCTCCATTGTGTTGCTGATGCTCTGGCTTCCTATCCGGATAATTAAGAGTCTGCTCCCTAATTTTCTTCCCTACAATGTCATGCTCTACAGGTAAGGATTTTTTGTTGTTTTGGTGGTTCTGGGAATTGAACTGATTGCTTAACATGGTAGACAAATACTGCCCTGTCCCACTGGTCTGTATCTCTAGCCCTATAGGTGAGTTTTTTGATGTAACTGTTTGCTTTTGAGAAAGAGTTCTCACTGGGCAGCCCTGGCTGGCCTGGAACTCGCAGAGATCCACCTGCCTCTGCTTCCTGGGTGCTGGGATTAAAGGCCTGCACCACTACTCTAGGCCCAGAGTTTTTAAAATTTAGAAAAGCTTTAATAATTTACCGCTGTTGGAGAGTTAATGTTGAGATTACATTAGACATTTAGAACACTGATTTTGTATAGGTAGTGGGCTTCTCTGGCACCCATTTTTCTGTGTTCTCAGTCTCATACAGATTAGTTCAGAAGTTACATTTTTCAAAGGAAGACTCATCTTCGCATTTGTTCCACCGATTTTACCGCACTTAATGAGAGTGAGTTAGCAGCAGTGTTTTTACTTTAAAAAGCACATCATAGCCGGGAGTGGTGGCACATGGGGTGAGCAGGGGCAGGCGTATCTCTGTGAGTTCAAGGCCAGCCTGGTCTACACAGTGAGTTCCAGGACAGCTGGGGCTACAGGGAGACCCTATCTCAAAAAAGACCGGGAAAAAAAAAAAAAAAAAAAAAAAGCACATCATAAGGAAGGAAGCCAAAAGCACACATTTAATTTTGGAGTAAAAATACGAGCAAGACTTGCAAATGGAAACTCTTTACGTTTAAATTTAATCTCCTTGGAAGCCTAATCTCCACACCTTTCCTGTACCCTCCTTTCAGTGACTTAAGTTACCACTTAGTCGTTATCTCAAATGCAGGGAGATGAGGTTAAGCCAGTTCTGTTTCTTAAGGTTTTATGCTAATCCAAGTTTACCACTTAGTGTCTTTGTTAGGCCTTGATTTTGCTCTCCATTTACAATCCACCCTCACACCTGCTATCTAGATTTTCAAAGTTTTGATTGTGTTCTTCCTGTTTGAAAGCTGTCAGTAGATCCTCCATTAGTAGGGCTACATTTAGGAGCACGGAGGCAGACTTTAAAGTAGATAAAGTATATGTAGACTTTAATTAGTTTCTTATGACTCTAGGACAGTAAGGAAGAAAAGAATAGGAAGTAGTCAGGGTGGGGCTGTCATTGGTTACATAGGAGCCATTGGTTACCACTTTGGGGAGATGATGGTTGAGGAAAGTCCTGAAAGGAGGTAAGAAACAGACAAACTGGGGATCCTTGAAGGCAGAATGTCCTTGTTTGAGGTCGGGCAGGCTCAGTAGCATCCTGGGCATGGAGGAGGAAGCAAAGTAGTTGACTCTAATGTCAGAGAGGTCATTGGAAACTAGCTTTTTGAATCTTACAGGCTGTAATAAGCACTTTGGCTTTTATTAAGTGAGTTGGAAAGTTTGTAGAAGCCTATGAGGATCATTCTCGCTCCTTGGTGATAAGAGGGGGCATGAGAATGGTCAGGTTAGAATAGCAGGAAGACAGCTAGGAAGGTAGTGATCTAGTATAGAGCAAGGGGTGGAGAGGAAGGAGGTGGTGTGGAGGCCAAGAAGCAGTTAGATGCTTTCTCAACAATATCAAATCCTAACGGGGTCTAGCAGTTTGGAAATGAGGTGCAAAGAAGGAAGACAAAGACCAACATTTTCTGTTCTTAGCACCCAGAAGTATAGACTTGCATTTGTTGAGTTGTGGGTGACTCTGGAAAGTGAGGATTAAAAATGGTACGATTAGATTTTTTATCTTGAGCGTGATCAGTTGAAGGTATCTAGTAGACACCAGCATGAAGCACTGAGCTGTCACTTTGGATACACGAGTCAGAGGTTAGGGAAGAAGTCTCAGTAGTTGAGTGGAAGGTGATAATTTAAGCCACGTGAGAGTCACATTCACATAGAGAGTAAGCTTAGATAAGAGAAGAGAGGACAGAACAGGGGCTGCTCAGTGTTTCCAGGTTGAGAGGTGAAGGGGAACAAGCTGGTTTTGGAAGTTGTTCAGGGAGAAAATGTTACGAGAAAGAAAGGGTGACCAGTTCTGTAATGTGTTACAAACAACATGACATGACCACTGATGTGACAGTAAAGGTCACTGGCAGCCTTACCAAGAGCAGCTTCAGTGGAGTTTGAGGAGACAGCCTCACTGAGTTGGAGAGAGAATGGGAGAAAAGGTATAAAAGAGAATGAGTTCATTTGGCTCTTTGAGGTTTGTTTTTCTCTCACTAAGTGTTTTATAAGTTGCAATGGAAATAGAATTTATATGTATCTCACGATTCTGTAATTGTCTAGTGATGCTCCAGTGAGTGAACTGTCCCTTGAGCTGCTTCTGCTTCAGGTTGTCTTGCCAGCGTTACTTGAACAGGGACACACAAGGCAGTGGCTGAAGGGGCTTGTGCGCGCGTGGACCGTCACTGCCGGGTACTTGCTGTGAGTATGGACTGCTGACTCCCTGGGTGTGTGTGTTGGTTTGTGTCCATAACGTTTCTTTCTGATACTGGGGAATGAAGCCAGAACCCCATGCATACTATAGAAATGCTGTACCACCAAATTACATCTCCAGCCCCATTTTTATTTTTGATTTTGAGACGGGATCTTACCAAGCTATCTTCAATGTTCTCCTGCCCCAGTCTTCTTAGTGCTTAGAATATAGGCATGTACCACCATTTCCCATCCTGTTTGGTAACTTTTTTGAGAAAAAGTACGTTCCACTCAAAAAAACTTGTTTTAATAAGGAACAATTGAGTAATACCTGTAGGTGTAATACATATTTCTAAAATTTTTACTTTTCAAACTATATCTATACCTCCAAGAGAATGTAGGCATAATTTTGCCCTCTTCTCCAGATGTATTGCTGCTCCAAGTTCTTTTCTGTTGTTAGAAGAGACAAAGAGAAGGGACTGTGTGGGGTGTGTGTCTGTCTATCTGTCTGTGCATGTGTGCGCGCAGAACATGCGGTGTGCATATATAGAAATATGACTGTGAAACTCCTTATTTTGTACCATTAGTGTGTACTAAAGTAAAAATATATAGTACATTTAAAAATAAATATCTTTATTTTAGGGATTCTGACCTGGAGGTGGGCTTTTCTAGGGTTTGCTTTTTTACTTGTTTACATCCTATCTCAGTCACTTTTCCTTTTGCTGTGATGAAACACCTGACAAAAGCCACTTGAGGGAGAAAGGGTTTGTTGTGGTTAGTTGGAGGGCACAGCATGACGGGGACATCCTGTGGCTGAGACCCTGAGACCTGAGGCGGCTGGTCTTGTTACATCTGCAGTCAGGAAGCCAAGAGGGATGATTCTGGTGCTCAGCTCACTATCTCATTTTGCACAGCCCAGGACCCCAGCCCAGGAAATGCTGTCACTCACATTTATGGTGGGTCTTCCCACCTCAGCTAATGTATAATTCCTAACAGGCATTTCAGAGGTGTATCTCCTAGGTGATTCTAGATCACCTAGGTTATAATCAATAGGAACATCATAGTCACTAAGTCGTATTAATTTATTGAGTCCTCGGAATGCAGATTTTTGGGGAAATATTTGGCATCCTTCTCCCCTGTTGTACTTTTGGCTGATTGGATTTGTAGCTTGTATAGAAGCCACAGTGATCATGTGGGGGAGAAGGAGTTTTCATCCCTGAAGGAGCCTCATCTAGAGTCTCTTGTACTTGGTTTTTGTTTTTATCTCCCCAAGTTAGTGATTTCTTCACAGATGTTGGTAAGAAGACATAAAATAGATTGAATTTGTAGGATATCCTACAAGCTAGTTAACAGACTTAGGTTTTAATTTGTAGCAGGCACCAGCATTTAGTCCCGATAGAGGTAGTGATGCCTTATATAGAATCCATTTGCATTTTCTACCCTTTAAATTTGGGAAAGTGTCATGTTTGTCATTGTTACTCTGACCTGCAACGAGACTCCTGCTGTGACTTGTCTAGGGATCTTCATTCCTACTTACTGGGGGACCAGGAAGAAAACGAGAACAATGCAAACCAACATGTCAACAATAACCAGCATGCTCGAAACAACAATGCTATTCCTGTTGTTGGAGAAGGTCTGCACGCAGCCCACCAAGCCATCCTCCAGCAGGGAGGCCCCGTTGGCTTTCAGCCTTACCGCCGGCCTTTGAATTTTCCACTCAGGGTGAGAACAGATTAACATTAGAACATTATTTTCTTAAAATTTTCTGTTGAGAATTAGTGTTGTTCACATTGGTTCTGTGTAAATATGTCTTGACAGTGTTGTGGGGTGTGTCACCAGAGAGACCACTCAGACAGTTTTGGCAAATGAAAGTCTTTGCTGGCCAGCGGCTACTACACAAGGTTGTCGGAATCCAAGTGTGTAGCCCTGAGCCATCTCTAGGGTAAGCTTTTATACAGAGAAACCATAACCAGGGGTGAAAAGCTTAAGTTCCCAAGCTTACAGGCGGAGAGCCCCCTTAATAATTTCTATTCTGTTAAGCAACAATTACTATTTTGTAGAAGCAAGCCAAGCATAACCTACAGAAGACATAAATCTGTAGTTAGCAGGTGCACTACAGGACACACTGACCTGTTCCCAAGACAGCCAGGGTCCAGCTGATATGTGTACCCATAATCTGGGCCAACTGCCTAATAATTTCAGAGACTAGAGTCAGCCTACACTGTAATATGGTGCAGCTCTGCTCAAGAAGGCGCCCTATTACATTCTGCTTCTCTGTTGCACTGAGGGGCATTTCTGTTCTGATGCAGTAGCTTATTCTAGCAGATTTTACTTATAGCACTGAAGGAACCAGGAAGCTTTTCTTTTTCTTTGTAAGCAAAAGATACTTTGTGACCACATCAGAAACAGAATCACTAAGGTTTTTTCACATAATCAAAGCTGCAAAGTCTTATCCGAGGTTTTTTTTTTTTTAATATTTTACTTACTATTTTAATTTTAGGTGTATGAGCGTATTGCATGTATAGGCGCACCCATGTCATGAGGTGCCGTGGAGTCAGAAGAGGGCATCAGATCCCCTGGAACTGGAGTTATAGACGATTAACCACCGTGTGGGTGTTGGGAATCAAACCTGGGTCCTCTGTAAGCGCAGCCAGTACTCTTAACACCTGAGCCATTTTTCTGGTGCCCTGTTTATTTTGTTTTTTTTTTTTGAGACAGGGTCTCACTAGGTAGCCTTGCCTAGCCTGGAACTCACTGTGTTCACCAAGATGGTTTTGAACTCAGAGATCACCTGCCTCTGACTCCCAAGTCCTGGGACTAAAGGTGTATGCTACCACGCCCTGCCTTTATCTGAGATTTTAGTCCTTTCAGTCTTTCTACAAGAGTTCTACCCTCTGGTCTTGGGGGAAATCTGTCTGGTAAGTTAGAAGACAAGCTTCATGCTGCCTTTCTACACAGGGAAGCCACTTCTTCCTCCCAGTATAGAAGCCACCGCTATATGTGGCTATTTACAGTTAAGATTTGTTGTGTGTCTAATTATATGAAAGTGAACACTTTCCTCTGTTCTAAGTTCTAAGTTCTTGAGCATGTTGGCACACATCTGAACTCCCTGCTACTTGGATGAATTCAAAAACAGCCTGGGCAGCAGAGCTGAACCCTCCCTGTTAAAGCTTTTTTTTTTTTCTTTTTTATGTGAAATTGAGGGAACTCTGAAAATATAAGACAGGGAGTCTCCCTCCCTCCCTCTGTCCTTCTCTCCTTAGTGCTAGGATCACAGGCATGCGTCATGATGTAAGGGTACAGTAATGCATTGTGAACATGTGCACTCTCTGTTTCCTTGCAGATATTTCTACTGATTGTCTTCATGTGTATAACGTTGCTGATTGCCAGCCTCATCTGCCTTACTGTACCAGGTATGAGACTGCCCTCGCTTTCAGCTTTCAACTACTGATTCTCTTGTCAAAAGAAGTTACATATCTTACGGAGAAAGGAGAAAGCTTTCCTTATGTTCAAGTTTGTAGGATAGTGATCTACTTAGGATACTTCACTTGATTATATTTGACATAGGGCACCAAATTGGGATACTAGTTATGAGTTTATTCTGGAGTATGGTATTTACAGTCACTCAGCTTTCATAAATACATCACAGTATGGACTGACAAAGTCCTTTGTAAGATTGTAATCATTTTCCAAGTCAGTGTGTGGGGGATATGTAGTCAGACTATTTCTTTAAATGTGGGATTCACAAATGCTAATCTTCTGCATTGAATGTATTAGAAATTTCAACCACGCATGTTTCTTCATCTAACAGAGTATGACCCTGTGATCTTCTAAAAGGTCAGGCCTAAAGCTAATGATGGTCATAAGACCTTGTTCCTCCTCTGTTATTTATGTCCAGTCAGGACTGTGAAATCATGCTGATAGTTGTTAACTACTTAGCTCATCACTATGTGGTATATTGAATTACTATCTTGATTATAATACTAACACAGTAATTTGATATATCAAATTTCTATTAAATATTTTTCTCCATGGGCTCTAAGGCTGGGGAAAAAACTGCTAGTAAAATTAAAATTTGTTTTAGGTGATGTTTCCTGGAAGGGAGAAGAAAATATTTTCTAATTTGAAGGAATTGTGGGGTTTTTTTAACCTTCATTTGATTAAAACTAAAATTGTCCTTTTTTTTTTTTTCTCTAAAAGATTTGCTTATTTTTATTTTGTGTGTGTGAGTGTTTTGCCTGAATGCATGGATGTGTACCACATTTGTGCAGTGGCCTTCTTGGCCTTCTTTTGGAGGCCAAAAGAAGGCATTGAATCCCCTAGAACTGAACGTATGGGCAGTTGTTGCTGCCATGTGGTGTTGGGAACCAAACCTAGGTCTTCTGCAAGAGCCACCAGTGCCCTTAACTGCTGAGCCATCTCTCCAGCCCCAACTGTGCTATTT